ACAACCCACGGAGCACTGGAGGAAGAGTCTTGTTTGTGGACTGGCAGTGAAAAGTGAACGGTCACCACACAGCTCTTTTAGGGCTGATTTTGTCAGCATTCTGTGGGAAGAACAAAGAGGGTGCTCCTGAGTCCCCGAGTCTGCTGTCCTGGCACCAGCTGACCACCCACCAGCCCTGGGGTTTGGCCGAACGTCTGGGTGCTGACTGGCATGTCTGACTGGCATGTTTGTTTGGCTTTGTCCATGATCTTAATCTCTACGTATGCAGATGTCTGAAGGGGACCTGGGTTTGTAGCTGTGCTTTATTACAGCTTCAAGCACTGTGTGCTTGCTCTGGTTTGGGGACATTTCTGCAAGGGGAACACAATATAATATACAGGACACATATTTCATATGATTATAACAGTCACCCAAACAATGATATATAAGAGAGTGCAGGAAATCTGTCCACACACTGAGACCAAGGAATCCAGCTGAGGGCCTGAATCCCACAGAAGTGTCCTGCATGAGTCCAGCTGAAGGCCCAGAGCTCACAACAGTGCCTCCCATGAATCCAACTGGAGGCCCAGAGCCCTTAACAATATCTCATGCAGGCCTGTTTCAGGGGTCTGCGCTGGGAAGGCCCAAAGGTCAGTGGTGGAATCTAGGAAGTCTGTGCCAGCAGGATGAAGGACCTGTGCTAGCAGGCTGAGGGGTCTGCACTGGAGCCAGGAAGTGATGCTCAGAAGAACCAGAGCTGCCCCAAAAGGTCCCACAGCCATCCTCAGCAACAGTGAGGTCCCGAGCTCCTCTGATGATCAAGATGGCCGAGTTCCCATCAGGGAAGCCAACACAGCAAACTTCTCCTGGAGATTGACAGGCAGTGCACCTTCTTCCCCTCCAGAGCCAGAAAGCGATGCTCAGAGTGAGGATCAGAGCTCCCCCAAAGTGAACCGAAGCCATTCTCAGTGCCAACAAGGTCCTGAGCTCCTCGGAGGATGAAAACAGCCGAGTTCATTAGGAAAGCTAGTGTGACGAGCTCCTCTAAAACAACCAACAGCTCCTCACAGCTTCCACCAGCTCCAACAGTTTCTCTCAGCTCCCAACAGCCCAACTCCTTCTCCAGTTCTGCCTCTTATGCTGCTGGCAACAGTCCCCAGGTGGGCCTCCCACACCCAGCACCGCGCTGACTCAGTCCAGCTGGGGGTTATAAGTTGACCAGTTATCAATCCACTGCAGTGGTGTAGCGATACTCACAAATACCGAGATTTACAAGGTTTGAGACTGAAGATGCTTCCCGTCCACTGATTTGACAAAAATGCTGGGTGCCAGGGAGAAGGTGACCTCACACAGTAGCTGAGGCCTGTAAACCCCATTAAAACCCAGCCTGCAAGCTGTCCGCCCGGGCACTGACCCTTCTCACCCTTGCTTCCCCATTCCTGTCCCTGGCCATTCCTCAGCATGCTAAACCTGCCTGCCTCCGGGCCTGGGCACCTGGTATGCCCCGGCCTAGAACAGCCTCCGCTGTGGGTGTCAAAGGACTCACTGCTCCGGGTCCTCTTCCCTGCCCACGTGCCCCCCATCTCCAGCCCTTTGCCCTGAGCACATGCCAGGCACCCCTGAGGGCAGGGAGAGCATGGGTGCGCCCGTCCTGCCCACTCCTGTACCCTTGTGCCAGAGCAGCACAGTGTGGCGCTGGTTGAGAGGCAAGCCCGCCTTGCCTTGCCCACTACCCATTTCTACCTCAGCTGCTCGGAGGTGTTTGTACTTCGGGGGTTTCCAGCTCCAGCCCCGGTGAAGCTTAAGACGACAGCCGCACTTTCCTTCCCTGCTGTCGCTGTCCCCCAGCTGATGCAGGGACCTGGTCCTTTCACACGGACGAGGAAGACCCCAGTGTGGTCCTCACCGCCCTCTGACCGTGAGATTCCACATAGGTACCAGGCTCTCCAAAGGAAAAAAGGAAAGGCGCTTGGTACCGCGAGGAGCACGAGCCTGGACGGCGAGTGGGGAGGGCGGGGCCTGGCGCCTTGTCCCAAGCCATGCAGCCCTGGCATTCAGTCTCATCTCGGCCCCTGCGCAGTCCTGGGGCGTTTGTGTTTGCACCCGCCTCCCGCCTGCCTGGCAGAAATGGGCATCCTCTCCCATGAGCTTAGCCCTCCAGAAGAATCCGGAGCCCCCATCAAGACAGTGCCTGCTGTCACGTATAGTGGCACACATGTGTAGTCCCAGCATTCCAGGAGGCTGAGGCAGGAGGATCACAAATTCGGTGAGCAACTTAACAATTAGCAAAACCCTGTTTCAAAATAAAAAGTAAAAAAGCCAGGGTTGCTCCTTAGTGTGAAGACCCTGGGTTCCATCCCCAGGACTGCAAAATAATACAGTCCTGCCTGTTCTGGAAGTCAACTCAGGAGAGCTTCAGTGTATTTCCTGCCCTGGAAACATACAGAAACACACAGAAGCTGCCATTGCCATTGCCGATGGCTTTTGGGTTTAGGTAATTGACATATAATATGTGTATTACTTATGCATTGCACTATGACAGCTCAGCAGCGCATATAATGCACAACCATCAAATCGGGGTGATGAGAGCATTTCCGTTTTCTCAAATATGACCATTTCTATATGTGGGGAACTTTCAATGTCTCTCTTTATGTCTCTCTTTAGTTACATTGAAATGTATAAAAAATTGTAGCTTTAGTTACCGTGCTACACAACATTAAAATCTCCCATCTAACTGTATTTATTAATTATTACCGATTTCTGTTTCCCCTTCCTCGTTGCTTTCCCAGTCCCTAGGGACCGCTGTTCTACTCTCTGCTCCTGTGGGATCAACTCTTTTTTAGTTCCACAAATGAATGAGGACATGTAGTATTTTTACACCTGGTTTATCTCACTTATCATAATGTCCTCTAGTCCCATCCTTGTTTTGCAAATGCCAGCCTCTCATCTTGTTTATTGCTGAGTAATATTCCATTGTGTATATAGATCACATGTTTTTATGCATTCATGTGTCAGCAGACACCTAAGTTGATTCCACACCTTGGCTCCAGTGAGGAGTGCTGCAGTAAACAAGGGCATATAGGTGTCTCTTTGACAAACTGATTCCATTTCCTTTGGCTGTATGCCCTCTGGTCGTGTTGCTGGATCATGTGGTACGTAGCTGTATTTTCACTGTCCTGGGGAACTTTCACACCATTTTCCATAATGGCTGTGCTGATGTATAGCCCCACCAGTTTGTGTAGGAGTTCCCCTGTCTCCAGCTGCATGCCAGCATTTGCTAATGTGCTGTCTTTTTGCCAGGAGCCATTCTGACTGGGGTGAGATGATATCTCATTGTGTTTTCTCTTTGCGTTCTCAGCGATCCGTGCTGTGAACATTTTTTCTCACACTTGTTAGCTATTTGTACATCTTTTGAGAAATGTCTTTTCAGGTCTTTTACTCATTTTAAGCAGATTTTTTCTTATTGTGTTTGAATTCCTTATATGTTCTAGATATTAACCTATTCTCAGATGGCTAGTGTGAAAACCATGCTCTTCCATTCTATGGGTTATCTCTCTACTGATAATTATTTCCTTTTCGGTACTGACACTTCTTAGTGTAGTATAACCCTACTGCTTTAGGTTTGCTTTTGTTGCCTGTGCTTGAAGGTCTTATCCACAAATCCTTGCCTATACCGCTGTTTTGAAATGTTTCCTCTGTATTTTATCCCAGTGGTTTCATAGTTTCAGGTCCTTGGTGCATTGTGAGTTGATTTTTGTATCTGGGGAGAGGTGGGTACATCCTTTGCATATGTGTATCCAGTGTCCCCAGCACCATTTATTGAGGAAATTGTCCTTTATTCCATGTATGTTCTTGGCACCTTTGTCAGACAATAGGCTGTAAATACATGTGTTCATTTCTAGATTTTTCTATCTTGTCCCATTGAGCTCTGTGTTGGTTTTCACACCAGTGCTGTGCTGCTTTAGTTACTGTAGCTTTGTATGATGTTTGAGGGCGGATGTTGTGTTCCCTGCAGCTCTGTCTTGGGCTCAGAACTGTTCCAGCTGTGTAGGGTCTCTTGAGGTTCCATATGAACTTTGTGCTTTTTTCCCCCCATTTTTGTGAAGAATGTCATTGGCATTTTGCTGGGAATTCTGTTGAATCTGAAGATGGCTTGGGTAGTGCAGACATTTTAGCAATATTGATTTTCCCAGTCCCTGAGCATCCCATGCCATTGTGGATGCTGCCACTTGAACTCTCATTCCAGCGAAGCGCTCTGACAAGAGCAGAGCGGAGAGTGAAGTGCCGCAGCCAGAATCTTTAATCATCAACGGCCAGTGGTGCGCTAACGCCAGAAAAGCTTCCCAGCAAGCCTTGCAGCAGCCCACAGACACGTAGCTGTCCTTTGGCATCCAGGAGCACTGGTCCCAGGACCCCTCCTCCCCTCAGATGCCCAGACAACTCTTTCTATAGCGTTTGCATGTATGAGGTGTCACAGCAGTCTAGAGATGACTTGAAGTGTGTGGGAGGGTGTCTGTAAGTTACCTGACCACCTGGTACCACTTCCTGCAGAGGGCTTCACATCCACAGATTCCAGTGTGTTATTCATACTTCCTATTTTACTTATAAATTCATGCATTGCTAACTGTTTGTAAGTTGTGACATCCTTGCCCTTTGCCCCCTAAACACTGTGGTATGTGTCAGCGTTCAGTGGCCATGACCGCTATCGTCTGCTTAGGCAATGCAGGATATTTAGCGTTACCATACTCTTTTCTAAGACGCAGGCTGTACTCCAACATCTCTTGCCTCGGTCACGTTCTTTACAGCATATTTCCCCGCACCCAGTCCCAGGGCCACCTCTGGACCTGCTTGACAGGCCCTCCTGGGCTGCCGTAATCTGTAGCTGCCCTCCAGGCTTTCTCTTTTGTGACCTTGACATTTCTGGAGTGTTCTGGCTACTTGTTTTATAGAACGCTCCTCAGTTGGATCTAATGGATTTCGAGCGCCCCCCCCAAGGAGCACCTCCTGTTTTCCTTCTCCAGGACCTTGCAGCCGCCGAGAAAGACCCCTGTCAGCTCCCCGCAAACCCGTGTGCACTGCTGAGGACCGAGAGGAAGAAGCCTTGGCCGTGCTCCGAGCCATCCAGGTGGAGAACGCTGCCCTGCAGAAGGCGATCCTCGCCAAGAAGGCCGAGCCACCTGCCAGGCCGCTGCAGGTGCGTGCGCAGGCCGGGCGCTAGGCCAAGAAGGAAGCTGGGGCCTCCCAGGACCCTGCAGGAACTGAGCAGTCGGGGTGGAGGAGCAAACAAGGATCCTGACCCTAAGCCTCATCTGCATTTCCCCTGTTTGGAGACGGTTATTGCCCTGTCAAGGTTCCACTTCCCTCACCTGTTCGTCTGGTTTTTGTTTACTTCTGAAAGCCTCAGCCCGGTGCTGGCGTGACCCCATGGTGGCTGATTGCTCTGCAAACTTTAGGGTACTTTAGAGCTGGGTCAGTGAAAGAGTGGGGCGGATGGCAAACCACGGCTTTGCTGGACCTCAGTCCCCAGAGCAGGAGCCCTGCAGCCCCCATATCCTCCCGGCTCCCTGCTCTCCTACCCTTGGCCCGCTTCACTTGTTCATGATACTGTGAGCCTGCAGCCTACCTGCTGCCTTTGACCTTGAGTAACAGGAAGACCAATGATGGGCTGGGGCAGAGGCGGCAGGGAGCTAGTGGCCTTGGACCTTCCCAGTGTGTGTAATGGCTTCCCTCAGAAGCCTGGTTTCTACTGGGCGTAGTGGCGCCTGCCTGTAATCTGGCGCTCGGAGGCTGAGGCAGGAGGATCGCTATGAGTTCAAGACCAGCCTGTGCTACCCAGTGAGCTCAAGGCCAGCCTGAACTGCATAGCGAGACCCTGTCTCAAAAAAGACACACAAAAGAAGAAAAGAAGAAGAAGAAGCCTGGTTTCTGACTCAGCTGCTGAGAACTCTTCCCTTTAGCCCGCTCAGTGCTCACAGGGACTCTGAAATAGGCAGGGCTGGTGTCAGGACTCTGTTTCAGAGATGTGGCCACCGGCGTCCAGAGGAGCAAGGTGGCCTTCTCAGGTGCTGCTTCACAGTGGCCAGGGTCTGCCGGCTGCAGCCACAGGATCTGTCCACACTGCCAGTGGCTCCCCAGACTCAATCTCCGGCTGCCCTTTGGGGCACCTGTTGTCGCTTTTCCTGGAGCTCTGTCTTTTGCCCCAGTGCTTACGTCTGTGAGTTTTGGAAAAGGTTCCTGCTCCTTCTGCGCCCTTGTGTGTGAGTGCGGAGCACCCAGGGATGGCTTTGTTCCCACCTCACATCCCATGATGACATCTTTCCAGGGGGCAGAGGGACCACCAGCCAAGCCCTGGACCAGTCTGCTGAAGGCCAAGGAGGAAGCCCCGGAGGTGAGTGGAAGGCTGGGTCAAGCCAAAGCCCCCAGTGTGCACATAGCCCCTGGTGGTCTCTGAACACTTTGCTTCCCAGGCTCCTACCAGGTCCCGTCTGCACCCTGACACCAAGGGCCTTGTGCCCATTTCACAGATGGGGAAACTGGGGGCTGCAGTGGCGTGGCCAAGCTGACAAGTCACAGCTAGAATCCCCGAAGCTGCTGGTCCAGATTTCTTCTGTTTCTGTTTCCTGATGAGACAATACATAAGAAATGGGTCTTAGGATCAGAAATAAATAAGTGGTATCTGCATCTAAGTCAGTCAGGTGCATCAGCAAAGATGACCCTGGCAAGTAAGGGCACCAACTATTAAAGCACCAAGGAAATACCTTCGTTAAATGCTGTATGCTCAGAATACAAAGTGACTGAGGCAGATGAACCCTGGCCTCAGCGAGCTTATAGGCAGCAGCAAATAAAGATAGAAATAAGCAGAAAGAAAGCCAGATCTGCTCATGGGCAAGAGCGTGCGGGGCTGTGGGCTGGCTCTGGCCGTCCCTTGGAACGCACATCCCATTTGAGCTGAGTCCTGCCTGTGGGAAGGACCTACAGGGAACAGCATTCCAGATGGAAGGAACAGAAAAGCTTCAAGGTAGGAATGAGATGGGGGAGCTGAAATTGGGTGGAAAGTGGGCGGAGCAGCCCCCCAGAAACCCGAGTGGATTCCTTCCTGTGTTGTTCTCACCTGTCCTGTGAGATACCAGTCATCCTACCCCATCATGCGCTGGCATGGCAGACAGACTTGCAACCCAGCCCAGCCGCCTCCAAGGTCCCTGACCTGCAGGGGGCGCACTCCCAGTTTCCATGATCAATGAGAGAAAGGGGCTGGAGGGCCTAAAAGCCGAGGGCTCAGGGATGCGCCTGGAGTTCTCTGCAGAGTCCAGTTACTTGGTGCGAGCAGAATGGGGGTTCCTCTGAGATGGTGAAATGTTTGAATGCCAGACAGATTGCTTCGCCGGAGCTTGAAGATCATAAGAAACAGACTCAGCGAGGGGTTCTGGGCCTGGTCAGCCCAGGCCAGCACTGTCTCCCCGGCACCCCTGTCCCTGTCTCCCAGGTCGAGACTGGTGGCCTGGCAAGGGTGTGCCTTTGGCCATGGCCGTGCAGCGTCTCGGGCCCGGAGGGCTCCATGCCCCTCTGTCTGATCAGCTCTTCCACCTTCAGTTGCTTCCCGCAGGCATGGTGACCACAGTGGCAGGACTGCCCGGGACGGCAGGGGCCGACCAAGCCACCCACCACACCATGACCAGAACTGGCCTCTCAGGAATCAGGTACTGACCACGGCGGAGTCAAAGGCCAGGCCAGAAAGCCCCTAGCAGTGCAGGCGCGAGTACCGTCCTCACTGCGGTCACTTCTCGCTTTTCCTGCGTTCCTGTAGCTTTAGATGCACCTGCCCTCTTCCCCCCGAGCCCAACAGCACAAAAGCGCCTTGAGTTCTCGCAGGGAAATGGCCCCTGGCTTGTTGAGTTAGGTCACAACGTCCTCCAGGTCTCCTCTGGAGCAGCCCACGCAGCTCGGGGCAATGACCTTGCTCCTCAGATGACCTGGGGACAAGAGCAGCCCAAAGCCACATCCTTGGAGACTCCTTTTCATCTTAAAGTTTGTTCCCTGCAGCATTCTTGCCCATGAACATGCAGCATCAGAGGCTGGATTGGCAAGTTTTGTGTGTGTGTTTTCATTTTTATTTTATTTATTTATTTATTTATTTATTTATTTATTTATTTATTTATTTATTTATTTATTTATTTTGGTACCAGAAATCGAACTTGTGACCTCAGGCTTGCCAGGCAAGCACTTACGCCTCTGAACTATATCCTCGGCCCTGTGTGTGTATTTTTATTTTTATCAAAATAAAGACTTTATTGTCAAAAAGAAATTGATCATCAGAAGGATACCAGCTGGGTGTCCTGGCACATAGGAACACTCCCAGGGTTGTCATGTAGGGTTGTGCATGTTGTAGACCGTGCAAAGTGCCTGGCCAAAGTCTGAAATCCAGTCTGCATGCTGGTCACAAAGTAGCCCTGACCTGAGACTGTGTCAGTCCAGAAAATAGGCTTTCTCTCTGCATGAAGGAGGAATTCGTTTGCTAAGCCATAAGCCCTCCAGGACCGCCTCTACCCAGAGGAAGTGCCTGTTTATAAACTGTCTAAGAATCAGATAGGTCCAAGGCAGAGCCAGCCCTCCCACCAAGTGTCTGCAGACCCTGATGAAAACCGTAGCTCTGTACCCCTGTGGCCATAAATCAGGGCCCCGGGGTCCCCTGGACATGGGGGGCTGTGTGCATCTGGAACTGTCCCGGCAGGCACTGCCTTCCTCCTTCCAGGGATCCTCTGTGCTTCCAGGTGTGTGTGTGGTGGGCCCTCTCTTCCTTACACAGCATACTGGAACATAGCTGGGCCCCCTACTGGGCCTGTCCTCCGCAACAAGTAGAGCAGAGCCGGTATCTGGAGCAGTGTCGGCAGTGTTTCTGTAAAGGCTGGACAGGCTGGCAAACAGTAGGCTTGCCCGCTGTTTATCTGTTAGTTTTAACATAACAGCTGGTCATGTGCAAAAAGGCCATGGGCTGGATTTGACCCCCAGGCCTGTTTGGCCAGCCCCTGCCCTGGACTCTTCCCGAGTTCTCCATCAGCTCGGGGAGGTCAGCTCGCTGTCCGGCCCCCAGCCGCGCAGCTTCAGTGGGCTCTGATTCCACCACTAACTGTACGATCCGGGGAGAAGCCACCTTCCTGCTGCCTGTGGGGTACAGACGTGCTCCCCAAACTGCTTCTCCTCCCTGAGGGACAAAGCCAGTGTGGTATCTTCACTGGGGGCGTGTTCTCTTTTGTGTGTCATTGGCTGCCTGTTAAAGTAAAATCCTATTTCAGACAACAGCAGAAGTTTCTGGAAGCACCTCAGGCCATTAAAGGGGACTCTGCCCACCCCAAAGAGGCTGCAGCCCCAAGCGAGGAGAGAGTGCTGGACACAGAGGTAAGAGCCAGACCCGAAGACCGCCAGATGTGTTCATCCTTCCCCCGAAGAACGGGGTGCGGGAGGGCCCTCAAAGCAGTTGGGTCCAAAGGGTGGGGTTGCTCCGACAGTGTCAGCCTAGTGTCTTTCTGCCCAGGACTCCATCTCCCCTCCTCCCCAGCACACAGGCACATGGGCATTAGAGCAAGGGAAGCGGAGAAAGAAAGAAGTCTGTCCAAGCCAGAGGAAACAGAAGTAGCAAGCAGGAAAATATTCAGCATTGCCACTATCAAGAAATGCAAATTAGAGCAGCCTTAACATCCTGTTTGCTGCCTGTGTTAACCAGTTATTTTCGACAATGACCCTTACAGTGGGCAGGGTTACTGTGCCTTGGTGGCAGCTGTACCCTAGATGACACACCCTCCAAAACAAAAGAATAGCTAGACTCCGCCAGCCTCAGGAAGAGCCTCGGAAGCAGAACCGGGCCATCCCGAGGAAGACACAGAAGCGGAAAGCTGGAGGCACAAAGGCGTTTGTGGCGGAATGGTTGGAAGTAGGAAACACGAGGGGAAATCCATGGAAATAATGTAAACACCTCCTCACAGTGGAGCTCATCAGAAATGTGTGATGATGTATCAGCTGTAAAGGACAGAAACCATCGTTATGAGCATTAGAAAATGCGAAGTTATATAGAGATAACGGTAGAGATGATGTTAGTCTTTATGGAGTCCAATATGATGGCAGTGTCTACCCACAGCCCCAGCCGTGGGAGCGCGTGGTGCCAGGGGCCGTGGGCTACAGCAGGCAGCCCTGCCTTAGGGCAGCAGCGTTGTTAGGGTCCTCCTTCTTTTGTGCCCAAAGGGGTGTGTCCCAGCACACCCTTCGTGCCCCAGCTTTATCGAAAGCGTGCTTGTGAGGATTTTTATTATTGGCCAGTGAGGACTTCATATGAACTCTCAAAGCCGTGCGTAAACTCACGTAACAGGAGCAAGGGTCTGTGCTGGCCTGGCCTGGAGTTCCTGCACGGAGTCTGGTGCTGCCACTGAGAGTTCATGTGGCCTCCTGCCAGCCTCTTAGGCTCTGGCCCTGCGAGTCTGTGACTGCCACACATGGTCGGGCATCCTCGTGCCAGGCCAGCGAGCACAAAGCAGGAAGGGCCTGCTGCCCGGTGCCTGGCGTGTGGCAAGGAGGAGCCAGTTGAGAGTTAACCTTGGAGAGGAGCCATAGCTTTTCTCCTCCTGAGAGAGAAGAGTTGCTTTCTCAGCGTCGAAGCTCCTGAGTGTGGTGTAACCTCAGCCACATTAAAAGAGCCCATACTGATGAAGTCTCTTTATGTTATGAGACAGAAAATCCAGAGCAAACCGATTGACACAACGAAGAAAAGAAAAGCGCAGATTTCTGTCGTTACAAATGTCCCGCGTGAGGCCAGGCGGGACAGATAGAGCAGCATGATACTGTGTCCTTCACTGGACCTCCAGTGTCAGCTGCAGCCTGAGATCTGTCCCCTGCAATGCCAGACCGGCTCTGCTCTCTCCCTGGGGTCCCTAAAGTGCTGGAGGGGGAAGGACATGCCCCCATATGAAGCTGACATTATCCTAAGCTGGGGCCATACCCAGCACTGAGCCACTCCTGCCTGGTGGCCCGGGGGAAAGTGCACGCATGCGCGCACGCACACACACACACACACACACACACACACATTGCTCAGACTTGCCCAATGGGAAAGGGTCAGTCCCCCTGTGCCTTATTGCTCAGGAAAGAGAGGGGGCGACTTCCCCAAAGGAAAGTCCAGTGGCCTCAGTGAGAGAGAGCCCGCAAGTGCCAGGGATTAGGAACTTCGAGATCCCAGAATCAGGCGACACAGAAGGCACAGGAGCCCACTAGCTCCAACAGGGACACGTGGTTACATTCCTCAGTTAAAAGACCCCAGAGCTTCTTCATTTAAAAACTCAGCTTGGGAACCGCACATTGGAGATTGGCATTGGGCAGGAGATCCAGCGGGCCCCTGCAAGAGAGCCCTCCTACCCCCGGCCCTCCTGCCACCTGGCCCTTCTTCCTGTCTCCAACAAGCAAAGCACGCAGCTCTGCTCTTCCTGCCTCCCAGACCGCTCACCTGGCCCTGGAACACTGTCATAAACACGAGCTCGAGAACCTGCCAATCCCGCAAGGCAGCCAGGCCCATTTGGTTTATCAGCATCCTGCAAGGCTGGGACTCAGCCCAGGGCAGCTGAGGGCCTGGCCAGGGCCCTGTGTGGGCTGAAGCAGCGTAGGCAGGGAGCTGAGGGTTCCGACAGCCATGCTAATGAAAACAGCCTCTGACTGCCCCCACCCCATCGCTATCCCATCCGCATCGTGTGGCAGTCAGGGCTCATCCAAACACACGCTGGGAGCAGTCACACATCTCACTGGCTATTAATTAAAAAAATAAGTGGGGAACAGTTGCTGTTCATTTGCTCGGCTCCCTGCTCACAGAAGCATTGCCGATTACAGTGCTAATTAGCAGGGGGCATGTGCGCTGGGGGAAAGCACCGTTTTATGAGTGACTGATCCATGGCGACCAGGGCTGCATTCGGGCCCCAGGGGCCTCAAGGAAGCCATTCTGCAGGGTGGCCGTTTACGGATGGCGCTCACGCACTCCCAGACCAGACAGCCTGCCTGGGAAGGAGGCAGGCATTAAAATCAGTGAAGGGGAGAGTCGGAAGGAAGCAGACGCGTGGAGAGGGCCCACAGTGCCACAGGGGCTCCGCCTCCTCCTCGTCCGTTTGCTCAGCCGTCCTGCCCGGATTGACACGTAGATGGTGGCATCTCAGCTCCCCTGGCCAGCCTGGGTGTCAAGTGAGCAGTCCAAGCGACTGGTCCGGGCCTCGGCTGCCAAGCAGTGGTGCTCATCTGAGCCCAGGCTGCCTTAACAAAGTACCACAGCCCGAGGGCTTCAGCAACGCAAGTCCAAGAGCAGGGCGGTTTCTGAGGCTCCGCTCCTGAGCGTGTCGGCGGCCACGGCCCACTGTGTCCTCTCACAGTCCTCCTGCGTGCAGCAGTCCCTGGCATCCTTCTGTGTTCAGATTCTGCCTCCTCTTAAGGATGCCAGGCGGGTTGGATGCTGGCCCATGCCTGACAGCCTCGTTTCCATTTGACCACCTCTTTCAAGGCTCCATCTTCAAATGCAGTCACAGTCTGCAAAAAGGGGGCTAAAGCTTCAACAGGTGAACTTGGGAGGGGCGCCATGCAGCCGTCATAGCCCTCCCTTCAGCAGGCAGCATGGCACATTCTGGGGAGTGAGCCCTGCCTGGGGGGAGCAAAGGGCGTGGCCAGGCAGGCTGATGCTATTTGAATGTTTTTGTTTATTTGAAAACCCTCAAACACGATACTATGCGCTGGGTACACAGCCACTATACTTATGTATCTATTTAGTGGTACTGGTCAACCCAGGGCCTTCACGCCGAGCTACAGCCTCAGCCCTTTTTTATTTTTGATTTTGAAACAGAGCCTCGCTACTAAGTTGCCCAGACTGGCCTCACGCTTTCAATCCTCCCGCCTCAGCCTCCCAGAGTGCTGGAATCACAGGCATGCAACACCGCGCCTGGCCAGTTACTGTATTTTAAAGTGGGATCTCGGATAATCTGTACAGCAGGTGTAGGTATCAGGTCTCTTCCCGGCCTCACTGTGCAGGTGGAGGATCCGTGGCCCTGGGAGGCTGATTAACTCGCGGAACGCCCACCGGCAGTGGGCGAGCTGAGCTGCAGCCTGTGGTAGCATCGTCCTAAGTGTTCTTTTTCTCTCCTTGAAGGATCCGTGGAGACTGAGAGCAGGAGAGACCGAAGAGGCCGTGTACGTGACCATGGAAATCATGTCCAACTGGGGCAACCCGTCACGGGTGGGTCTCACGGAAGTTGAGTTCTTTGACCTGAACAACGCGAAGCTCCATGTGTCACCCCATGATGTCGATGTCCGGGACACCGTCGCGCGCGGGGAGCTGTGCTGCCTGGTCAACAGGAACGTAGCTGTGAGTAGAGGGCACCCGGCCCGGCTCTTCACTGCGTACTTGCGCTTTTCTCTGTCGCTGCGTGGCAGTCTGTGCTAAGGGTACGGTCGCTGGGAGGGGAGATGCTGTCAGCTACCCGTCCTTCACCTGGCACAGAAGGCAGGAGCCTCAGGCCTCCAGAGCGTCTCTCCTGCACTCTTCCTGGTCCTTGTTCTGTGGGCTTTTCTTGGGGGAGCCAGTTCACCCCCTTGGGTCCCCCTTGCAGCTTATTACAGCACACACAAGACCCTGGGGTCACGAAGATCAGTGCCCCCATTCTGCAGATGAGGCTGGGAGAAGGCCCTGGAGTGGCCAAGGTCCCGCAGTACAAGTTGTGGGCCAAGTCCACATCCTGCAGCCTGGCCCAGGGCCCGGCCCACACCTCCTCAGGGCCTGCTTCCCTGGGCCGTGGGGTGCACATCCAGCAAATGTTCAACGTTCTTTTCCTTTGTATACCTGATAGCGTGTAAAAAGGGAAAAAAGCACTGGTATTTTCCTTTCATGGCACTTTCAAATTGGACACAAAAGACTGTGAGAGCCCATAGCCAGCAGCAGTGTGTGTACCGAGGTGCGCTCCACGCTCTTCATAACTGTGTCCAGGAGGGACCGGAATGAGAACAGAGGGTGCTGTGAGCCGCAGCTGGCTGAGCAGGAGGCCGGGCAGGGCTGGGTAGGTGCCTTGTGCACCTTTTAAACTGCCTTGTACATATAGTACTATTCTTCTCTGCAATTACTAATTTTTAAAACATATCAAACACAAAAACAGCTACCACGTGTTCAGTTCTTGCCCTATTCCAGCCACAGTGCCCAGCGCGTCATACATGGGCTGCCATGTAGACCTAGTACATGGGATCGCATGTAGATGTAGCATGTGTGATCACATGTAGATCTAAGCACACAGGCTTGAGAAGCAGAAACGCCTGGGTTCAAAGCTCACCCCTTAGATATTCGGACTCTGCTTAATCCCTCGTCTGCAAAACAGGGTCATCGTAGCCCTCACCTTGATAGAGGGCTGGGAGGATCAGATGTAGATCAGGAAGAGCTTAGCACCACGCCTGGCTCTTCCCAAAGGGTCTGCCACACAGCGGTGATAGCTTTCCCTGTTGTTCTTAGGGAGAGCATAAGTACTACTAAGTAGATATTATTATTCCCATTTTAAAGTAGAATGCCTTTAAAATCCCCAGTCCCAGAGCCCCAGCTTCTGCTTTAGGCTATGGCCTTGGGTAACTTAGCTGCCTTCGTAGAGAATGTTTTTCTGCCCCCTGTAAAATGGAGATGGCAGGTGGATCGCCTGTTATGATTCTTAGACTGCCCGTAACAGAAACCGAGTCTGACCCACTTTAGCACCATGTGTGTTGCGGGGGGACCCTGTGGGGGGTGCTGGGGAGTGAACCTAGGGCCTTTGTGCTTAGCTGCATCCCCAACCCCTTTGAAAACACTTTTATTTTCATTCAGGGTCTCACTAAGTTGCCCAGGTTGGGGTCCAATTAATAATCTTCCTGCTTCGGCCTCCCAGAGTGCTAGGATTACAGGGATACACTACCATGCCTGGCTTTAGTATATTTTTATAAAAGGAAATTCATTTCAAATCTTTTGAGTACCTACTATACTCACTGTCACCAAAGGGAAAGTGGACAGGCCCCGTGGTCACGTTGGGGTCCTAGGGAGCTAGCAGCCCAGATGCTTGAGCAACAAGGGTCTGGTCTCTTTTGGGGGGACAGGATAAACCAGGGGATGTGAGCCCCTTTCCAGATTGCAGCTCAGCGACATTGAGGGCAGAGTGCTCTGGGCCGTACCATCCAGGCGCTGAGGGTAGGGGCTGCCCGGATGGTCCAGCCCTGAACACCCTGCCCGGCTTCTGGATTCCCGCTGGGCCCTGATGCTTGCTGCTGGGGCTGGCACCAGCCCTTGCTACTGTCCCCATCCCCTTGTGCAGAAGGCAGTGGCTCTTTGGGACCCTGCTGTACAGAACAGAGCACTCCGAAGACGATGAAAAGCATCATTGGATTTGATAGGAGCCAATTCTGATGATTGCTCTCTCTATTTCTCTGTTCCCAGAGGCTGGTGAGCTTTGCTATGTGATGACAGAGAGGACTTGACCCACGGTTGGGCCTGGGCTTGGGTTTTTTAAAATTTATTTCTTTCGGGGCCCTGAGGGTGAGGCAGGAGGCACTTGTGTCTGCCTGAGTTCCTAGGTCGCTGTGGGTAGGCACATCGCCTTCCTTCCCCGCGTTGGTCAGTCTGTGCTCCAGTCCTGGGGCAACCAGGACACACCACCTGTCAGAACACCCGGGTTCCCTGGAATGTGTCTGCCACAGCCTGGCATGCCGCCTCATGTAACCCTCACGTCAGCCTCGCAGTGGTGCCCTCCGCCTCACCAGTGACAAAACCAAGCCTCGGGAGACCAATGACTTGTCCCTGGACACACAGCTGTGGCTGGTAGAGCCCAGCTGATCCCTGAGCAGAGGTTCCTGGAAGGGGAGCGAGTGTGGAAGGGAAGGTGCCTGCGTGGAGGGAGCTGGGGCATGTGGCAGATGTGGGTGTGCCCAGGCTCCACCCAAGCCCCTTTCCTCAGTGCCTGCCCTGTCTCTCTCCCCGTCTGTGCCCTGGTCCATGGTGTCGATGACTCCAAGTATATATACCCAGCCCTGCCGTGTCCTCAGGTCCTGACATGAATGTCAACTTCCTGCTGACATCTCTTCTTGTACGGCTACTAGCCATCTCAGACACAGAGACCTAAGCTAAGTTCTGGTTTCTCCCACCCAGGCCGCCACAGATTGCCCCTTCCGTGACGCCTGTGCTCAGGAAATAGAGTTATTGTCCACTCGGCTGTGTAAGCACACCACTTAGAGCCTTCTGAATTACAGATTTCTTCTGAATCTGTAATTACTTCCAAATAAACAGTTAACCCAGGTGTGGTGGCGCACGCCTGTACTCCCAGCACTCTGGAAGGTAAGGCAGGAGGATACAAGTTCAAGCCCAGCCTGGGAAACTTAGCAAAACCCTATCTCAAAATATAAAGAAGGACTAGGGACATAGCCCAGGGTAAAGGCTCTGGGTTCAATCCCCAGTACCTCAAAAAAAAATTACTTCCAGATAAAAAGTTAGAAAATACGTTTTGTACACTTGGCCATCCTGGGGATAGAGTGTGACTAGGACACTGTCCCAGCCTCCTTTCCACACACCGACAGGTCTTGCGGTTCCACCTCCCTCCCTCCGCATAGCACCTCCTGTGTATAATGCCCTGGCCCCGCCCACCAGGACTACAGCAGGCCGTCCTACATTCTCGTCCCATCCACTTTGTCCACCCGCTATCCAGAGTGATTTCTAAAACAAATCAGCCATCCCCTTCCCCTCCTTAAAACCCTGCCATGACTTCCTGCAACACTTAAAAATAAAACCCAGGCCTGACGGTGGCAAGGAGGCTGTCTCCTGCCACCCGCCCCACACCCGGTGCCCCCACAGCCCGGCCTGCCATCTGCTGCTCCAGCTGCCGTGTGCAATCCCACCACTCCAGGTGTCCTGTTTCCAGGTTTTCGAGTGGCTTCTCTGCATTCAGATCTCAGCCTGGACATTACTTTCTCAGCAAGGCCTTCCCTGCCTGGGAATCCCGAGGCGCCCTGTCCCCACCTGGCCTCGCCCCCATCATGACAGCACTTTTCATTTTCTTCTGAGCTCATCTTATCTTTTTTATTTTTTTATTTTTTTTTTTTGGTTTTTGGTTTTTCTCCGGTACCGGGAATCGAACTCACGACCTTGCGCTTGCCAGGCAAGCGCTTTTGCCGCTGAGCTAAATCCCCAGCCCCCTGAGCTCATCTTATCATTAAAAAGAGTTATCCTATCCTGTGTTCAGAATCTGTTTGCCCCAGGTATTTCAGAAGTCTCTGTCCTATTCACACTGTGGTTTCATTATATAAACTGTACAATAGAGATTTTTAAATTTTTATTTGGAAATAATTATAGATTGGCTATAGGAAATTGTAAAAATAGTACAGAATATACAAATATAAAATAGAGCTAATGAAACAAATTTGGTCCTTTGAAAGGATCAGCATTGACGAACTTTTAGCTAGACTAAGGAAAGAAAAATGAGACCTGATTTAAACTAATAATGTCAGAATGACCTTACAGAGATAAAAAGGATGATAAGGGAATATTATGAACAATTGTATGCCAACAAATTAGGTAAACTAAATAAGATGGACAACTCCTAGAAAGACACAGATGACCAAAACTGACTTAAGAAGAAACGGAAAATCTGAAGAGACCTATAGCAAGTAGAGAGATTGAATTACTCATCTGACAGTTCCTAAAAGAAAATTCCAGGATTAGATGAACTGTGGAGCTGATGAATCTTATCAAACACCTGGAGAATTAACAATTAATAATCCTTCCAAAATACTTTTAAAATACAGCAGAGGAAGGAACACTTCCCAGTTTATTGTCTGGAGTCAGCAATACCCTGGTGCCACGTCAGACAAAGACATCACAATCAAACTACAGACCAAAAGGCATATGAAAAGGTGCTCTGTGTCACTCACCACTAGGGAAATGCAAATGAAAAGCACAATACTTCATACCCACTGGGATGCTTGGAATAAAAAAAGGAGGAAAGACAACTATCAGGTTAATAATTCTTAGTTATTGAGGGCTGATGAGGCCTGCAATCTCCCAAATGAGTGGACGTGAAGTCTTAAATAAATGAGACAATTGAAATGAGTTTAGGGCTCCAGGAGGGTCCAACTCTCTTACAGAATTAGAGATTCTCTGGGTTAAGACCAAAACTTCCCTGGGCGGCCCATATTTATTAGGTTCTCAAACAAAGGAAGGGGATACTGAAGAAAATGCAGGAATCTGGGCAGGACTTGAGAATCCCTTTAAGGACTCCTCCGAGTAACACTTCTGTTAATTTAGGAGAACTATGTTATCTCCAGGAAGGCCTTCATTGCAGGAGTGAGATGCCCACAGCTACAGTCTCCTTTTGGTTAATTGGGGTTGGAACCAAAAGTCCTCAGCTGTGGCCTTGTCTTGTCCTTTGAGGCCTCATGGCTTTACCCACCATTATAGGCCTCAGTAGGGACCAGTGACTCACAAGTAAACATGGAAAGCCAATTGGTTAATTTAAGTCCTGCTCAGAGCTGCTTCATAGTGGTCTCCATCAGATAACGAGTTAAAATAGCTTATTAAATAGTTTGGTTTTTTGTTTTGTTTTTTTCCAGTACCAGGATTTGAACTCATGACCTTGTGCTTGCCAGGCAGGCACTGTGCCACTGAGCTAAATCCCCAGCCCCTTTTTATTTTTTCCGGTACTGGGAATCGAACTCATGACCTCACGCTTGCCAGGCAGGCGCTGTGACGCTGAGCTAAATCCCCAGCCCCAGCTTATTAAATAGTAACTGTTTAAAATAACAGGTACTACTGAGCATGTGAAGAAAGAGGAACCCTCACACCTGCTGGTGGGAAGGTCAAAGTTACATAGTTCAGCCAGTGTGGAAAGTCTGGCTGGGTGCAGCTCAGAGACAGAGCACTTACTGGGCATGTGCAAAGCCCTGGGGGCTCCATCTCCAGCATTTAAAAAAAAGAGTGCTATAGAAGTAGCTTCATACAGTATGGACCCTCTTTGGCTTGCTTCACTTAATATAATCCCCTCGACATATTTCCAAATCTTTGTGTGTGTCAGGTGTGTTCCTTTTTCATGCAGTACTTTATTAAAATGGACTTAGTTCTGAGGCAGTCAGCATCTCCCTGTAGGTGGGTGGATCTGTGTTAGGTCGATGCTGGAACAGAAAAGCACCTTTGGTTTTGGAGTTAGAAAGTTACCTCCTCAGAGAGACGTTCTCCGGCCATCCATACTAAAATAGCCATTCCATTAACCACTAATAGCCATTCTCTCTGATTTTCTTTATAGTTTATCCCTGCTTGATTTTTTTTTTTTTGTCTTGGAAATTGTGCTTGCTGGCCTTCCGTCCTGGGACAAGCTACTGGAACACCCATGGGATGGGCGTTTTTGCAAACCCCTGCGTGGAGCGCTGTGTCAGCCCTAGAGGTCTGGGGACTGAGGGCAAGGTGCACAGGTACTGTCACTGCCTGTGCCCACGCCTTGCCCCTCCCACGTCACAGCACACTGGCTGTCCTCCCACTGCCAGCGCTCACATCTCCCTCATGGAGGGTTCTTCCCGGGTCTCCTAGGCCCACCCTGGGGGTGACACCGAGGCCTCCAGCAGCAGCCAACGCCGGTGAGAGTCAGGTGTAAACACCCCAGGCACTTGTCCCATGTGGTGTTAAGCTCCGGGCCCCTGCATGAGTGGCCAGCATGGCCCCCTTTATGCTGGCCGCCCTCCCCTCCTGGCCTGCCCAGGATCCCATGGAGGCGTCCCTCACTGTGTGCAGAAGCTCCTTACACCGGCGTCCCTGCCTAGGGGCAGCTTCTCAGAGGGTCCAGGCTGAGAGGCAGAGGTTCACATCCTCACCGCAGCGTGTGGGCCGTGAGCACCGGGCCGGGTCAGAGCCTGCTCCGCCTACCAGGCTTGGTACCAGAGAGCACCAAGTGTGTGAGCAGCAGCGGGCAGGTGCCCTGATCCTTGTCCTGCCACCATTCTTACCACCTGCAATGAGAGAAGCGTGCAGACCTGCTGCCCACTGGCCCGGCGCTGGGGCTCTGCCCAGGGTGGCGGCTGCCCAATAGCCTTCTCTTGGAGATCTGCCTGTGGACAGGGAGCCTCCGAAGGCCTGCTTGCTAATGAGGTCCGCAGTTACCGGCAGGTTAATGTTCCCTGACTTTGATCACCACAGTTCCCACACAGGCCTCCTGTTACTGCTCGGGCTGACAGCACTGTGAAGGAAAATCAGTTACAGCCCCCGCGCCTGCACCCAGGGTCAGCCCTCAGTCTCTCCCTGTGTCCCGCACCCACAGTGACCCACTTCAGGCTGCCGCCCAGGGAGGGAAGGACACTCACCCACCCGCTGGGTTTTGAGATGTGGTTTCTCGGTACGCACCCCGCCCCCGCAGCTGCCCAGAGCACCAGAAGTTCTTGCCCAGCTGAGGAACGCGCCAGAATAAGTCAGAACCCCTTGAACTCATCTCTCCCCCCTAACAAGGCCACCTCCCCGCTCCTGAAAGGGACCGTTGTCTCCAAAACAAGTCTGCTCTGTTTTCCCCCCGCAGCTGGAGCTGGGGCCTCCCATCTCTGGGGGCCAGCAAACCCCAGAGTCAGCCAGTCCTCCCTCCCGCCTCTGTCCCATGGCAGACCTGTCCCTCTGGTGATCTCAGACACACGTGCTCCTTGAGATAAAAGGGACCTCTGGGCGCTGTCAGGCAGGTGAGGGTGCTCATGGGCAGACAGGACCTGCGGGGACTTTTCAGTGCCTAAGCAAGAAGCCCAGCCCAGGTGCCTGTAGGACCAGGCGGCATGTGAGGGGAAGGAAGGAAGGTGCGAGACAGCAGGGAGTGGTGGGGCCTGCAGGGCCCTGGGAGGTGTTCACCCTGGCCAGCTTCCGGGCCACACACTGGACTCCAAGCAGTGGCCATCGGGGACCCTGCGTTGCCACATATTCCGAATCTGGAGAGAAGCTAGAAATCCGGCTCTTGGGTGAAATCTCATTTTTCAGTATTGGCGAAGAATTGGTCTTTTTTTTTTTTTTTAACATTTCCCACACCAAATGAAATACCTCTACCCCTGGGAGCCAGATCCAGGTTAAAACCTCTAAAGTCCCCATGACAGGACGGGAATTAGGGGGCCTATTTCCTTTATCCCCTTACTCAGCCAGGTGTTCATTCCCCAAAGAACTGTTGGGCGTTTGCCGTGTGCCAAGGAGCAGAGCTGAAGGCTCAGCGTTTGGGGATGAGTCAGACACAGGCCTTTCCCTTGAGGAGGTCACAGATGTGAAAATGGGCCACTGCGAGACGCCCGGGCCAGGGCTCATCTCAGGTGTCGCTGGGCTGGGCAGGCGTGGAGCTGGGCGTACTTCTGCCAAAGGAGGAGATGGCAGTGGCGCCGCATCATATTTTAGCTGCGTTTCTCAGGATGAGAGGATCATTGCCAGGCAGCAGAGGCCTGGCTGGAGCTCTAGCCAGCGAGGGCAGGGTGAGATTGGGAGCACTGTGGGTTTGTTTGAGAGAAGGCGGAAAAGATCAGAGAAGAGGTGACAGGCGGTGAGCAAGTCCCCCGACTTGGCTTTCTCCTCTGCCCCAAAGCCCTCAGGACTTAAAATTGTATTGGTGCCTGTGACTGTGACAGCAGAGCGCCCCTCACCTCTGGCCCCGTGGGCTGCGAGGGCGGTCCTGGCTGCCCAGCCAGCAGCAAAAGCTGCAGACTGCAATCCCCGGGGCCTCCGAGCTTGGAAACCCCGGCAGGGAACAAAACAAACCCCCAGGCGCGGCGCCATGGCCCTGTCCCAACAAACGCCTCAGCCAGATTCTTTCTTCCTTTTCTATTCTACAGTTTTAAAAAATTCAACAGGGTTCAACAAAAGAAAATCAAAGGCTGCATTTGCCAGGTTAATCAAACGGGGCGCGCAGCGGCCCCTTTCCCGTCCTTCCTCCCGGGGTCCCTCCCACCCCCTGCACATTCCTCAAAGCCGATTAAGTTGATTAAAATAAAGCCCACTGCACTTTAAATTCCATCTGGCTGGTGGAACAGAGGGGCCCATGTGGCAGCTGTGTGTGGGGACAGGGTCGCCAGGCTCTGACGAAATGCGATCCGAGACCCGCTGGGTGCTGGGTAGAGAAGGTGGCCTGGCCTGCTGCCCCTGGCCCGCCTGGTTTTCATTAGCCCAGGCCACTGTCGTTTTAATCAGGCAGAAAGGAGCCTAATGGCCCCCTCTCTTGCTGGCTTTGCAGACCAAGAAGGAGCCCTCGGGGTGGACCTGCCCCTTCCGCCCACCGCTGCAGCTCACTTTTGCTGTCCGCAACACAGGACGGCTGCGCGACTTTGGTCTGGCCGCGATCAAGGTCTGGAATTACTGGGCCACAGATGGGGTGAGTAACTGGCTCTGATTCCTCAAAGGAGGCCTGGTTGACGAAGCGCCGAGCAATTTGCCAAGCCCAGCTCCTGGCGCTCTCGGTGGGCACAAGGCAGCCCTGCCGCCCTTTCTCATGGGTGCGGCAAGAGCCTGGCTTCAGAAGAGCCACCAGGAGCAGAGCTTGTGGCTCGTAACAGTTTTGGGAAGTGACACAACTCTCCCATCTCTGGGGGAGCTGGGAAAATAGGAACTGAGGCTCAGTTTTACAGATAAGAGAGCAGAGACACAGAGAGGTGATGTAACTTGCCCCTAGTCACACAGCTAGTTGGAGTCTGAGTGAGATCTCGAACCCGTACATCCAGGCTCCAGGTCCCTTGTTTAGCCATCACTTCCAAAACCGCTAATGCTCAGTGGCTCACCAGGGAATCTGGCTAAAATGTGGCTGTAATTAGCAGGTACAGGCTAGAGCCCTGGATTCTCCCTGTCTGAGCAGCTCCTGAACCCTGTGCTTCCTCCTCCAGGCAGTTTTCCCAAACTTACTTGCATTTGTCCCTTCATCCCACCCACCCTTATTGCTGAGCACACACCAGGGGCCCTCGGGCTTCGCTATAACCCCAGAGATTCTGGTGTAAAAGACACAGACTGTGGCCTGGAGGTGCGTCTTGTGCAGAAGCCCAGCGAGCAGATGGTGAATACTGTAATAACGTGTTAAGAGGCCCGAGGCCCCTGGCGCTCGTGGGGAGCACAGCGAGTGAGGAAAGACAGGAGACATCTGTCACAGTCCCCTCCTAGGATGGACATGGGGCAGAGGCCGTTCTGCCCTTCTGTAAGGGAAGCAGTAGGGCAAGGGTGAGGAGGAACTGGTCCTCGGTCTTGTAGGAAAGACACTGGGGGAGCTGGGGGCTGTGGCAATCTCGAAGCCCGTGGCCGGGTAAAGGGACCAGTTGCTGGAGAGCAATCCCAGTGGTGCTGCTAGGTCTTCTAACCACGGCCAGGAAGTCTGGAGACCTGATTTCTGAGGTGAGTCTTGTAAACGTCAGTAGTTCATTTCAGTTCTTTTCGGTTGTTCCAGTTCTGGTGATGCTCCTCTGGGTTGGAAAGGGCCTGCCCCAGACTGAATGGAGCAGGAGGCGGGAGCGTCCTCAGCTTGAGAGAGATCAGGGAAGGTCCTTGAAGGGTTCCGCCCTGAGCGTGGGTGCAGAAGGGCAGCAGAAAGAGCAGTGTCCAGGTGGAGGCCACTGCGTGTGCAGAGGTATAGCAGTGTGGAGCAATGACGTGGCCTTCTGCCCGCCTCCCGCCCCCAGCTGTGAGCCCAGCCCTCCAGTCTGTCTCCAGCAGCCCCCGGGAGGTCTGATCACACAGGTCAGCTGCTTCCAACACTCAGAGGCTCCCCTGGACCCAGGGGATCAAGGTCAAGGCCCTGGGTGTGGCACCAGAACCTCCTTATCCCTTGGGCTGGGCCCTGCTTCCCTCCTGTCGGTACCTCCTGCATGCACAACCTCCTGAAAGTCTGTACTAGGCGCTGTGTAGCCCCATGGTATTAAACCCATCTCGATCAACCCCAGAGCCCAGACGTCTGGGCCTCAGCCTCCTGGAAACCCGGGTGTCACTTTCTCCAGGGAGCCCACCCTCCCCGCCCCTGCACCGCGGTAGTGGTGTGTCCCTCCTCCCCTGCACCAGACTTTGCATCAGCTCTGCCGCTGCTGTTCAAGGCAGAAAAATGGCTGCTGAACGAATGAATGCGCTCTACGTTCTCAGTGATCCATCAGCACGCATGCTTGCCCTTTCTGTTTTTTGTTTTTGTTTTTGCATTTTGGGTTTTTAGTTAGTTGATTGGTTTTTGGTTTTTGGTTGTGTGGTACTGGGGATTGGACCTAGGACCTTTACACCAAGATATATCTCCAAGTCCTTTTATTCTTCTTCTTATTATTATTTTCTATTATTATTATTATTATTATTTATTTATTTATTTATTTATTTATTTTGAGACAGGGGCTAAGTTCCTAAGTTGCCCAGGCTGGGTTTGAACTTGCGATCCTCCTGCCTCAGCCTCTCGAGTGCTGGGATTACAGGTGTGCACCCTGCTCTTGTTGCCCTTTCTGATCTCCAGATACAATCCTGAGGCTAAGACAGGGTAGGTTGTTTGCATAAGGTCACACAGCAAATTAAAGCTGGGAACCTGCTTTGGGGAGGCAGCCCTCTCTCCTCAGCACTTTCTCCAGCTATTCTCACACCCAGCCACCCACTTGGACCTTCACCCTTGTGTACCTGGGGTGAACACCATTGAGGCAGAGACATCACAGCCATCTTTGTTCACACACACACACACACACACACACACACACACACACACACACACAGGGTGCAGCGGAGTAACAGAAAATTTTCTCTAATTTCTGCTTTTTGAGTGTTTTTAAACAAACGCTTAAAATTTAAACTTGAGAAAAAGAAATCCAAGCCACTGGGCCCCCTGAGGAAGTTTCTGGGGCTGGTCAGCTGCACTGCCTCACGGGCTGGCCTGGCCCTGTGTGCTCAGAGGCCGGCCCAGAGCCCTGGAGCGGCCCCGGCCCCGCCCCGTACTTCCTGGCAGGTGAACAGCAGCACCTTCCTCTGGAACGAGTAGTGAGACAGGGCTAGCTGCCCGGCCCCTTTTCTGTAGCTCAGCCCTGTCACTGAACGTGCATCCCAGGCCAAGAAAAGCACATTTCATGTGCTGGATTGCAAAGCCGATGTGCTCCATCCCTTTTTGGCCAAGGCCGGCCTCTCTTTCCAGCCTGTGCTTGGTTTGTCTTGTGCTTCTGAAGTACGATAACAAAGCGGGGTCCTGCGCGCCCCGCAGAGCACCTCGGTGTTGCCTAGGCACGTGTAGTCAGGGCTGCAGGACTGGAGCACCCAGGCCTCCTGGGGGCTCGGGGTAGAACGGGGAGGGCTGCAGGGCTGCAAGCACCACTTATGTAACGCACAGCCATCTGTTGCCAGAATTTACTGGGGACAGAGAAGCACAAACAAATGCAGCTGCAGGTTGGTCTGATTTAATATTCCCCAGAGGAGGCCATTACTGTGTGTTTTGGAGGAGATAAAATGAAGGTTTATAGGAACTGTACCCTGGCTCGGTGGACGTGGCTTGTTAGTACCGTGTTTTGTGCATGAAAATCTCAAAGAGAAGTTAAATGGAGGAGCTAATGCAACCCAGGCTTGGTCAGAGCAGAAGAAAAGAAGGCAGTACCGGAACGGGGGAGTCCTTTTATTGGAAAATGTGCCGCCTGTTAAATCCCCAGGTTAACATTTATGGGCTTCTTTCTCCCTCATTCGGTGGCCCCATGAGTGTGAGCTCCTCCGTGGACAGGGACTTGGGAGGGGACACGAGGACGGGAGGCCACAGAAGGCGGCTCACAGCCGTCTCTGCGTGTGACAGCTGCTGTGTATCAAATGCGCAGGTGTCAGGCGCACACGAGGCCCCTGTGGGCACTCCAGACAGCCCGGTATGGGAACAAACAATAAAAAGAGGGCATCGTCTCTTTCACCCTCAGCAGTCCCCCAGGGCGGTGGCGGCGTTCCTGCCTGGGAGGTGGAGCTGAGGGCCGGGGACAGAGTGACCGGCACAGCAGGTAGACTGTCTCTTCTCCAACTCTGACTGGAGACGGCTGTGTGGAGGGCCGTCTTGAGGAGGGTCTGGAACCTTCCTGCTGGTTCATCAACGACAGGAGGCTGTTGGGCTCAGGAGGGCGGGATGACGTGTCTGTCACGTCTTGTCATGTACCCCAGGGGAGGAACGTGATGGGGGGCAGAGCCAGAGGGGTGAGGGGCAGAGCTTGGAGGGACATGAGGGCCACTGGGTTTTCTCAGGCTCTGCCTGGCCCCTCTTCCCCTGCAGGGGGCATCTAATGGGTGGAGGGATCCAGGAGTCCCCCTTTCCTAGGGGGTTGGAGGTGGGTGTGACTTGCTCCCCGGGGCTCATGTTTAGAAACTTGGTGCTCGGTGGGGCGAACATTGACAGGTGGTGGAACCAAATGCGAGGCCACTGGGGCGCTGCCCTCAGAAGGGGTCCAGGTTGTTCCCACGGACCTACGTTCGTTCTTAAGAGAACAGTTGTTAGGGAAAAAGCAAGCCCGGCCTCTCTCTCTGTCCTTGTGTCTCCCACATACACTCTGCCATGATCCCGTCAGCCATCAGCTGGTGCCAGCTAAGTGCCGTGCCCTGAACCTCTAGAACTGTGAGCTGAATGTACCTCTGTTCTTTATAGTTTCCCAACCTCGGGTGTTTTGTGATAGTAACAGAAAACGGTCTGACACACCATCCAAAAACTGGGCTCCCAGCAACGCCTCATGGTCCATCAGTTTTTCTTTGTAACAGTCCTACTAGTTATCTGCCTCAGGACGCCACCCCGCATTAAAAACAGGCACAGCACCTCCATCTTCACCCGTACCGGCACCACGTAGACGCTACCTGCACTTGGTCGTGGTGGGGAGTGGGACAGCAGCAGGCATGCAAGCAGGACAGGCCATGGAGAATATTCTGTATACCAAACAGTGCTGAGTCTGTAAATTCCAAGTGAATGAATGAGTGAATGAAAGAACGAATGGATATTACAGGTCCCACTGGTATGTCTCTGTGACGTGCCATATAGCCTAGGTAGCTTTGTCCGCTACAACCTTTTGCAGTCACAGAAATGTGCTAGATCTGCCCTGGCCAGTATGGTAACCTCTAAACACAGGTGGAGGCTGAAAATTTGGAATGTAGCCAGGGCAACTGAGAAACTGCAACTTAGAATGTATGTAATTGTAATTCATTTGAATTTTAACTGAAGTAGCTATGTGTGGCTGGTGATTATGTATTGGGCTGTGTGTGTCTTGGTGCTCAGGAGACGTGGTGAATGAACAGACAGGGCCCTCCCTGCCTGCACGGACCTGGCCCTTTGGTGGGGAGGGGACACTGAACAAGCGAATGGTGTCAGTTCGGGCGGAGCTGAGTGTTCTGAGGACAGTGGAGTAAGCAGTGAGCGAGCGTCCTGGTGGG